AAAGAATTAAATTGAATTACTGTCATTACATAAAAACGTATATTTGCAGTGGGTGAAATTCTATTTTGAATAGTCACGAGAGGAGAAAACTTCCCACTTCTTTGTCAACATTCATAAAAAACAGAATGTTATCTTAGTTTTGCATTATGTAAGAGAAATAGAAAACATAACAATACAAAAAAGGAGTGGACCATCCCAGTGTCTCCTGAGTATTTCAATATACAAGAATTTAACCCTTGTAATAGTTAATCCACCTTAAAATTTAACTCTTCGTTTATAAATACAGCAATACCTCACATAACCTGGGTAATCGGTTCCGCCAATATCCCGGACTGTTTGAAACTGGACCAACCGAGGAACTAAATACATACAAAAATGATAATTGGTTTAAAAAAATCTCCGTTTTTCAGTAAATAAGACGTGATTGATAAATCAAATGTCTTTATTATAAACAATTTTAAAAAATTCATGTTTTTCGCAAATTCATTTTTTATTCTCTAAAATTGCAATATAGATATCTGCACATTTTTCTTCTTTGGCCTTTTCTCTTCATACATTTCTTTTGTAGCAACGAATTACATTGTTTATCGTTCAGCGAATTGTAAGGCTACGTTCAACATTGGGATCAACTTCCATAATATGCTCTGACAAGGTTTCAACCATTCCAGTAATTTTTATAGTTGTTCAGCTGTTAATTCTCATGCGGGCACTTCAACACAGTCGTCGTTGTCTAAGTTGTCCTCCCGTTGTTCATCTATGTTAATAAGTGTTTCATTATCTAGTTCATTAGTGTTCAATTTGATGCACTCAGTTACTTTGAAGGAATCTAACTCATTGAAACCAAGTTGCTGTCCAGTTTCCACTATGTTATTAGTGACTTCAGCAAAATGAGTTTCAAAACCAATGAAATCATTTGCACAATGTGGTATGATATGTTTCCATACTGCCCTCATATTGCTTACCATTAATTCATGCCATGCTTCGCCTATATTTTCGATAACATTTCTGATGTTGTAGCTCTTCCAAAATTCCGTTAAAGTAGTGCTCTCCCCACCTCCTCCAGCGATAGCTGTCAGAGCTCAAGAACGAACGACCTGAGCATAGGTACACACATATACAACGGGGAACACCCCCAAAAATTGAAATATGTATCGTATCGCATAACTTTAAAACCACATAAAAATAAACCGCACAAAAAGAGACTTGACTGTATAAAGAAAAAACCCGATCATTTATGTATTAAAAATAATTTTGTGTACTAATTTTTTAGAATTTATTTTTATTTTTCTGAATTAAAATTTAGTTTGTTTTGAAATTTTCAAACCGGACTATAGTGAATTTAGACTGATCGAAGCCGGCCTATGCGAGGTAATGCAGTATTTTGTTAGATTTTTAATGTGTAAATAAATAGGAAAAATTGATTTGGAATAGCAGGTAACTATCTTACCGGCTGCGATACCGAAGTCTAGGCTATGTGTTTTCGCAACTGCTCAATAGGAGCGCTGTTTAACAGCCGGTATTCATATATGACAGTAAAATTGAAAGGATATCGTACAACCCCATGTACTCTGAACCAATAGCATTGAAGATTACTGTCCTTAGATATTACGCAATACAGTCTGGCAAATATTTGCCAGTTTTTCGGAGGAACGGCTACTTTAATCTTTGTGGTAGTATTCGACCAGACAACATGGCGTTCCATCCCAGAAAAAAGTATTTTTCGTAAACATCACAGTGAGGTAAAGTTGTCCCTGTGCTTAATTGATTAAGCGCTATGCCATGAAGTGGTATGGGGGAGTGAATGTATAGATCCACATTTTCTTGACCTCGGCACTCGCTGGAGGTGAGTGGTCAGCTTCACGGCCCGGCCACTTTACTTCCGAGGAAAGAGCACCCGGTACCCATTGGATAGGAGGTTGGGTGGACTACGTGGAGAAGAGAAATTTCTTGACCCTACCGGGACTCGAACTCCGACCCCTCGGCCGTCCGGCCCGTAGCCAGTCGCTATACTGACTACGTTATCCCGGGTAAGAACGTCAAATGAGACGCACATCTTCCTTTTATTTTTGTGTTTTCGTGTATATCGTTGCCGGTCACGGTAACCGCGCGGTCTAAGGCATGCACTGTCTTAGCTCTCTAGGAAGCCGGGATTGTGGCTTCGAATCCCACTCAGGGCATGGATGTTTTGTGTGTGTGCGTTTTTCTGTGTTTGTTTTGTCCTGTGCTTAGGTAGAGGCCTTGCGACTGGCTGATCACCCGTCCAAGCATTCCTACCGTCTGTAAAATGATCAAGAAAATAAGAAACTGGCCCTATGCTCCACAGTGGAAGCAAGAGGAGGAAAAAATAGTGTATGTCGCCCGGCAACCAAGTCTCCCCATCTGTCTTAGTCTTCCCAAAGCTCCTCCTCAGTTTTCAATCACGTTCATCTTTCCTTCTGTATGACATAGGTCCAAACTTAATAGGGGAGACCGGGGATTGTTGTGAAATTCAAATTAAAAATCAAGTGCCAGTAGCAGTGGCTCCGCCAGCTACCAGATTGAAGCAATACTGGACCTATGCTAATCCTCACTCGATAGTTGATCTGCAGTTGGTCGTCCTGTGTTTATGGAAGAAAGTGTATTTTGTCTTGGAGTAATTCTTCATTTTTTTGTCTTTGTTTTATAAGAGCGACTTATTTTTGAGTGACATATCTTTTCCTTGCAATTCAATGTGAAACAAACCGGCATAAGAAGGAGTAAATTGTTACAAGTAGCTAGGGGTTAGTATTTACACTGTGACAGCTAGCTCCACCGTTATACAGCCACCTGATTTTGGACAGGTGGCAAATATGACAAGAACAATGACAAGGCGAAGCCAGATATAGAAAATATAAGAGGCTTAAACTTGGCGGTAGTCAAGTTTACGACCGTTCAAGTGATTAAGCTGTCGTTGTAACTAAGAAGAGTAAGGCAAACATGATGGGCTTTGCAAATCCTGTACTGACAGAGGATTTGTATAGAGTGCATAAGGATGAATTTTCAATAACATGCTACATGTGCGATGCATACACTTGAAAAAGCCCAAACCTATTCATTAAAGACAACCCTATCTTCTCGTCAGAGAGGATGCTACATAAGGACTAAGACCATAAGGGTTCAATTGAAAAAAAAAAACTCTGGCCATGACGCTCGAGGAGCTTAGCGTCAAGACGAACCGATTTTTGGTAAACCGCCAGTCGTAAAGTAATTCTGACTCTTACGGTTGGAGTAGATTTCGAATCGAGAGGCAGACAGTTGTGAGAAGTGAGAAGCTGGCAGCTGAGGCCAGGGACAGTTTGGGAACCAAAAGGAAAAGGAACGCACGTCGTTTGAAGCCGCTAGATAGCAGCGCAGTGAAGACAGTGACAGAGAACAGGAGTCTGTGCGTGAAAGTGATTTGTGAAGTGTAGTCACGAGTTGTGTGTTTTAGACTTCAATAAATCGGATTACCAATCCAAACCCCTTCTGCAGTCACTCAATCACGTGACAATATATTACCTGCTTGCATTTGAAAGAAATCCTAAAACATGATTCATTTGTTTTTATTGCGCAGTGTTACGTGTTACTACGCAACAGACCAGGGCCGTTTGGAATGAATGCGAATGCAGTCGAATGGAACATGCATTCTTGTTTCACTAAAACTGAAATGGGCTGCCGATTTAGTTTCTTAACTACCAGTTGCATGCATTTCTATTAATTTTTGTTTGCCTCTGTTGATAAATAAGCATCATTTACTCTGTGATTAATAAGGATTTACGCTTTTGATTTGGTGAAAACATGCGTGTTACATTTATGAGGACCCCCCCTCTCTACAGTGCTTGTGGACCTTCGCCGCTTTTTCAGTTTCTTAATCTACACACAGTCGATAGACTCCTTGGACGGGGGATCAGCCCACCGTAAGGCCGCTACCTACACACAGGACAACACAAACAGAATAAACGCACAAAGACATCCATGCCTTGAGTGGGATTCGAATCCACGATTCCAGCTTTCGAGCGACCGAATATGTTTCATGCCTAAGACCGCTCGGCCACTGTGATCGGCAATTATGAGACCCTACTGCACTTTATACACAGTTCCGGAAACGTCCATTTTTTAATTATCATTTTAATTGTAATTGTAATATTAATTTTAATCTATTTAATGTCTAGTTTTAACTATATTTGAACCACATTTTAAAATTAAGATAAACTCTCACTATAGAAAAATCCTACAGACAAAATATGAATTCATATTTATTAATGACGCAATTCAGAAGCTAAATATTAAATATAAGTCCCAAATTATATTTTTTAATTTAAAACTGGGATTGGAAGTAGAAGGATGTCAAATTTTACTTACTCGCATATGAATTGTTTACCAGAAATATATAATTCGAAATTCTTATCTCTGCAAATTAACTGATTGGTTGTTCAATTTCATATGCATTTTTGCTTTTCCAATTGTATTACCGGATGCTGTACACACACTGGAATATAGTATAGTCATATCAGTGTCAATATGCTTAGTATTAAAGCCATGCATTTCTAAACTACACAGACAGTTGAAAGATTTATATATCGACTTATAGTCGAACCATTATTCAATTCACTTCTGGCACATTTCGAATTCATATTCTTAACATTTGCCTTAGCGCCGGGAGCTGTCATGTTGTTAATAAAACATTAATTTCATATAGGTTTTGAAGTTATCGCAGCGATGGTCTCAAGAACTCTACTTTCTGAGATATAACGCCGCATAACCTGATAAAAGTCAACCGACGTTTCAGACGAACACATTACCTCCATATTCCTCCAAAACGTCAATTGACTTTCAGCGGACTACACGGCGTTTTATTCCAGAACTTTAAAATTTTGTTTTAATTTGTAATTTATGTAACAAAATACATATCTGTGTATACTGAAATTAGGTGAAACATATCTTTATGTTCAGGACGTTTACCATGTGACAGCTTGCCGAAACGCATGGGTGAACTTATTTGTCTCTTCTCCGTATAAAGACTTGACCCCAAAACGCAAGTCGTAAATCAGTGCCTTGCAGCAGAGCCTCATGTTCAGAGATTCCCTTGCCAGTCTTCTTACGTGCCCCATTAGACTACTGCAGCCTTCATTCAACTTTTCTGAAGAGACGTGTAGTCTCCTTACGTCCCCGACGTAAATAAACCCCACTCGCAGTCTAGTAACATAGCGTTGCATCAGTACACATGCACTCTTCGTACAGACGCATCGAGGGCTGGTCATGTTCTGTTTGTCCGCCTGTGTGAATGTTTCAATTCGAGAAAAGCTGTAAGGATTCTAACGAAAATTAGTTTGAACACGTAGGCATATTATTCGAGGCTACCACGTATTCATAATTCAAGCAATAACATCAACATGATAGTCGCACGAACTTCAGTGGTGGAAGAAACACTAGCAGCACTAAATACACGATGTAATCTGAAACGGTGGACATATTTGTTTAAAAATGTTCAACTTCTTTTACCTTCTTTCTTTTGAAATGTAAAGAAATAAAACGGCGGCTGCATTAAACCTATATTTACTGCACTGCACTGTACTGTAGTAACAGGTGACATTTTCGGTGTATTTTATGCATATTAGCTTATACTATGGTGTAAATATGAATTATAGACATACTGTGTGTTTCTTCGTGAGTGATAATTTTTGCAAGAGGACACTGGAAAATTGGAACATTCGAATTCATCCAGACTTCTCGAGTTAACCACGATTAAGGACAAGACTGCAGCGAACGTAAGTAGAAACTTGAATATTATCAACTAAAAATTCATTTCTCATTTATGTGATGGAAGATGCTTTGCCTGTAAATGCACGTGTTTCAGTGTCTACGACATAAACTCAGGGTTATGTATAGAACTCTTAGTATATATCTTTTATATAACAAGAATACCAAAACTATTTTTCCGGCAATGCATACGTCAGTAGCTTGAATTCACCATACCCAAACGTAAATGTGTATAAATATATAGAGCCAAGAGTTTCAATTTTTTTCTGTGAGCTGACAGTTCCGGTAAACCTTGTCTTTCCAAAATTCTCCATAAATAAAAATCTCGTGGAGTGAAATCGGTGAACAAGAGGGTCAAGAAGAACACCCAGTTTGATTACAGAGAAAGTCGCATAACACGGTCAATAAATTGTTTGCTGCATGAACAGTTGCAGTCTTGCTCAACGAACGCCCATTCCGTTACATCGTTTACATTCTGAAGGGGCCGTGACATAGCTCAGCCGGTTAGTCGCCGGCTTCCCACCGCGGCGGCCCGGGTTCGAACCCAGGTCAAGTCATGTGGGATTTGTGTTGGACGAAGTGGCGCTGGCGTAGGTTTCCTCCGAGTACTTCGGTTTCCCTTACCAATTCTCATTCCACCGACTGCTCCAAACTCATCTATCATTCTGGGCTAGTAAAATAGGTCAGTTAGTAGCCGACGTTAACAAACTTGATGCCATAAGATATCACTGACTGAAATGTGAGATGGTTAACTTAATGGTCAATAGATGCAACATACTTAAATGGATGTTTGGCCGCGCCATAGCTCAAGCGGTTAGTCGCGAGCTTTCCATCACAGGGGCCCGGGTTCGATCCTCGGTCTGGTCGAGTGGGATTTACGGTGGACAGAGTGGCGCTGGGGCGAGTTTTCTCCGAGTACTTCGGTTTCCCCTGCCAATCTTCATTCCACCAAATTCTCCTTCATCATAATCACCCGGGTCAGGTACAATAGGCCAATAAGTGGCCGCCGTATCGAGTGGACTCAGCTGGACTCCAACCCCCACTAAGCGAATTAAAAAATGTCATTTATCGCCATTCTACTCCTTGAACAGCCCTGAATGTACTTGGTTTCCTCAGTATTGACTGTTTACCGAGCAGAAGATAATGTTGCCGGCACTTGTTCAAGGACTTCATTTAAAGCGTTTGTATTGTGGGTAGGCATGACTATGGCATCTGCCTGCACCACCATCTCCCGTGTTCTTGTGAAACTGCAACTGCGATAGTAAAGCTAGGCACTTGAAAACTGTTACATTGGAAAACATATGATATAAAAATACAATGAATTATAAGCTTGTTATAAAACGAAAGTTATAGAGTAGAATATGGTTAAAAATTCTTCATGTGATACTGCATATCAAAGTCAGTTGCTGCAATCTTGTTATATTCCCGCGGACATAATGGTATATTCTAGACATGTATACATATAGTAAACTGTTTTGAGGCCCGTGGTATAGATGTAGTATTATGTGACATTAATTGTTTGACCGGTGCCTCATCTTACGATGTCGTTGGGAATACAGATTACAGATTGGAATTGCAATCGGTATTGTTCGTCTCATATCTATCAGTCCAGCTGGTATACAGCTTAGTCATTCAGACATCAGCTTCAAATTACCCGTTTTGCAGGTTGGGCTTTGATGACGTTTCGACTTACGCCATCACTTACCAGATTTTGCTGAGTATACACCAGTGAGCAAGAGCCTATTTGAGTTTCATTAAGAATTTATTGTTTCCTGACTAACATTAATTACTTACAAACCTGTATAACTACATGAAAATATTTTCATTTTAGCTTAGCGACCTGTGAATTAATATCAGAAACTCGCATTTTGTGTTTGGTCCAACCTCTGTTAATAATTATTTGCCAGGTTACAGAGACGTGAGTGAAACACTATTTTGTTGGAAAATATCACAAAGTTGATCTTATACGTATGGGCATGCAAGAGGTGAACTACTTAATGTGAGTCCTTTGACATCTTTATCTTGTCATGGTGTGTCGCTTCGCTGTATAGTGGAAAGGTCAGTTATCAGAAAATTTTCCTTCAGTAGAGACAGAAAGAAAACTGCCTCCCTTTTCCTCAGTGGCCAAAGCTGTGATACAAGAAGCCGTGTGCCGCCCGTCTGGAGGAACATGCGGGTCGTTGTGTCCTCTTCTTTAGATTGAAAGCGAAAAGTTCTCAGCGAAATCAGCCCTAAGTCTTCAATAACTTACACTCTCACCACATCACTCACTCATGGAGCCGAGATATTCTTGAGAAGCCGCCAGTCGCTCAGCTACTTAAGAATTTATGGACATTTCAAAGAACCCGAACGTTCATTACCGTGCTCACAACAGTCCTCCACTGCTCCCCATCCTGAGCCTGATCAATCCAGTCTATACCATCCCATCCTACATCTCTAAGATCCATTTTAATATTGTCCACCCACCTGTGGCTTCGTCTCTTTCATTCTGGCTTTCCCACCAATATCCTATAGACATTCCCCTTCTCCCCCATTCGTGCCACATGCACTGCCCATCTCATCCTCATTGATTTGTTAATAATTATACTTGCAGAAGAGTATAAATTATGAAGTTCTTCATTATACAGTTTCCTCCAACCTCCTGTCACTTCATCTCTCTTCGGTCCAAATTTTCTCCTCAACACCCTCAGTCCATGTTCCTCCCTTAATATCAGAGACCAAGTTTCACCCACATAGAGAACCACAGCCAAATAATAGTTTTGTATACTCTAATTTTTATGTTTTGGACAGCAGAAGAGAAGACAAAAGGTTTTGGAAATAATGGTAGCAAACTTTACCCGAGTTCAATCCCCTCTTAATTTCCTCCTGAATTAGGTTTTGATTTGTTATCGTCGTTCCAAAATATCTGAACTGAACTGTGTTCGGTCTACTACGGGAAAATAAATCTTTAGTTGTTTTGTGCTTCGGTCTGCCTAGGAGTGTGCCGATGTGGGGAAACCCCCCTTGAATAACACAAACAATATTTCCTTTCTTAATTTCTTAAAAGTTGAGTGAGTAAACTGTACATACTCTGTGCCCCAGGGCCATCTTATTTCTCAGCTTCCTACGCCTGTGGCCAAGGAAGCGGGTACAATCATTCCTCGACTACAGCTGCAGAACTGTGTGTTTCCGTGTGCGCCTTTCTGTAAGAAGAAAACCTGCGTACCTTCTAGTAACAGCCACCTCGCAGTTACTTCTCTGCATTATCTCACTCTCTTCAGCGTTCACCAGTAGTTATCATTTTAATATAATTTTAGAAATAGTCGTGGAATATATTTGTACCAATGTAGGGTTGCGTTTCTCTGAGGAGAGTACGAGGCGCTTTCTGCTTCACAGAAAGTTATTCTCCAGTTCCACACATTCGTTCATCTGTGCTTCTCATATATTTAATCTTTGTACCCGCATTATTTACATTAATGACTTTTCTTCTTGTGACCGGCTGTTTCAGATCAAAAATTGTTTCTCACAGCGGACTGTATCGAGTACGCCTATTCTTATGTCACTTTAGTATATGTAGCGAAATATGTTTTCAGAAAAGCTATCTGGAAGATCAGTGCGTTAAGGCTGAAACAGTATAACAGTTTTTCAAGTCACTTAAAAGTACCAAACCGTTTCTCTGACACTTCCTGGCCTTCAACTAGACATTTTGCCTCGGAAGTACTGCACCTGAACAACCATTTCCAACGTTAAGTTTGTTTCTGTGCATATAAATCCCATCTGCGACTCCCCACTCTACAGCCCTAAGTTTCAACATTTCTCAATGCGTATAAACGACCTGCCGTAAATTTGAAGGACGGTGGTAGTTTTAATATCTGAAGACCGGTGTTAATTTCTGGAGGAGACAGGGCAGAATTGTTGCGACGTCGGGAGTTAAGCATTGCTTACTTTTGTTGTAGGAGAAATATTATTGTTATTGATATTACTGCTTTTGTTATTGTTATTGGGTGAGTGCACATTAAATTAAATTGCGGGGAAGTATTAAAGAAAGTTTGTATCGGAATTCGTTACAGCTCTGTAGATAGAAATATGTAATATTTCCGACGATGATAAGGCCGCTGAAGCGAGAAACTGACCAGTGCCGCCACCTACTGGCAAAGCCTAGAATATCTTGGGAGAGGCAGCTTCAGGCTTCCACTTAACTTCTGTTCAGGTGCTGAGGGACGGCAAGAATTTCCTATGTGCTGCGCAGTGAATTAATTTTCGAGGAAATGTCTTGGAATAGGAACAGGTTTTGTTCATACGATAAAACGTTTATCTTGTGACATACATTTGAGAATGATATATTTCACAGGTGGTTATGTTACAATCATTGAGAGTTTTTGGCGGGATACACTGTGCTGATGTATACAGCATGTCGGTACACCTCCTCATGCTTGATTGACACACTTGACTGACTTCAGTCTCGAGAGCCTCCCACAACTTCCAAGAAGCATGAATGGTTCATGCGGCTGTCTGCTGGGGCACAGCTCTGTAAAAGTTGTCACTTCTCCGCAGTTAGGCGGTTGGGGCAAGAAAGCTGGGCTGTCTGCATTTACTGCCACAATCTATAATGTGAATATTCTCTCTACCCTACGTATATTCTTGCCAAGGTGCTGAGACACAGGAGAACTTTCTGTACGTCACACACTGAATTAATATTCCCGGAAAGCACTTAAGCACGAATATTTTTGTTTTTCCGATGAAACGTTAACTCTTGACAGACATTTGAGTGCAACTTATCCCGCAAGTGATGCCAGGAAGTAAAGTAGTTACACCACAGTGGTGTAAAGCATTGTGTTGGGCAAGATGTACTGTGCTATTGTGTACAGAATGTTGGCGTACCAATGCACACCGACTGGTGCTTGACTGACAGACCTCGATGACGTCATGTTTTTGCTAAAAAGTTTCGTAAAACTCGCATAAAGTCTGAAGGGCGCATAAGACCACTGCGCAATCCACTGGCTGTCTATTACGGCATAACACGATGCAACAATACCGTCTACAACAATAGTCCCCTCTCTCGTAAGGGGGGCGTACACACCTCGTTTCAATATCGCCTCTGTCGATATTACGGTATCGATTTCCGGCTCTAGTCGATTGTGAATCAAGATCTGGTCCCCGCGCCTCACTCGATCAGCAAATACCACCTGCACTCGATAGATGTCACTGGCGTTAGTGGCCACCATGAGCAAGTGCGAGGGCGTCACCGTGAGATTTCGCCCCGATGCAGTGCGCAGGTGCAGGAACTCTCGCTGCTGATCCGCATCGCGGTCGAGGAACAGTATTACCTCGCTGTACGTAAAGCGGCCAGTCGCCATATCCAGCGCCAGGACGCGATCCCCAATCCACAACTCCTCCAGTCTCAGGCGAGTGCCGCTAGATGTCTGCACGGTCGTTTCTGCCGTGAAGCAGCCACCGGACTTCGCAGCCTGCGATGATTCTGCAAGAGAAAATTGTTGCGTTATTGTAAGAAATCATTAAGGCCATGAGATACAATCGTCAATCGAAATATGGGCTAATCTGCACGCTGGCTTCTTGAATGCAGTCGCTCTTATAATACCATCAACACAACTACTCGGTTTTAATAGTGTTTTCATTCTTCCCCACTACATGTTTCGTCCCTATTTGTGGGTCATCTTCAAGCAGTATACATGAATAAACATAAAAAATCTTAACTGTCATGCCATACCCTCTAGTAGAACATGGGTTCCCTTGTTCACAATTATTATCCAGTTCGTTATATATCATAGGGTCAAATATACAAGCAGAAATGTGAGAATAGCAGGAGGTAAAATTAACTGTGTGAGAATGTGGGTAAGACGTATATAAGTAAACTTGTGGTACGTAGTTTGTGTAGGTTGTTGGTTTGTTGTTGATTTCCTGCTGTTTACTTTTTATTCAAATTAAAATACTAAAATAACCTTAAAGTGACACGTAAGAACGTTGTGGTTTCATATCGCTGTTGTATTTGTGGTATAACTCACCTGACGACATTCATTAATACTCGTATTTAAATGCTGAGTTTTAAAACTTCCTGTGTGAAGTGAGGTACACTTTACTCCCCTTCATGGTAAAGTAGTAGTACTGTGTGTTTGTTTGAGGCCTTTTAGGGACTATTCTTGTATCTCGTATTATGACTTCGCGGATAAGTGCGCTGTTCTGTACTTTCTTGATATTCTAGACTAGAGAGCGGTCGCATTTCATCCGGATTTGAAATAGTAAGTTAAAAAGTAAAGCTATCCCTGTAAGAGGTCGTGAAGGCCCATAGGGTTGTAAGACGTTGAGGGTCCCACATTATCTAGACAATCGGCTCAAAGATGGCGGTAATATTGTCAGCCTTACGCGCCGGCCGTCCTTTACCCCCAGGAAAATTATTTAATTAATTCCTGGTACTCATTTCTGTTAGAGGCTGAATCGACCCCAGGGCCATAGTGCGGCTGGTAGGATTAGGTCAATTGAAAAAATACAATAACCTCATCGGGACTTGAACCTGCGACCTTCCGGCTTGTAGCATAGCCCCTCAACCAACTACTCTATCGCGTGCCCCCGATTTGAAATAGCGCGATATAAAAAAAATGGCTCACTTTATGCGCAAAATTTAATACAATGTATAATGCGAATCCAAAATCCCAACCCGCCCTTGCTTTAAATTTATTCGCATAAGAAAACGTATCTTGAATTATGCGAGGTCTTCAGAAAAGCGTCCTTGCATAAAATGCGACCACAGTTTTTACTGTTATGTAATGTACGTGAAGTTCCCTTGTTATGTGACGCAGAAATAAAACCCTGCTCTACCGTTCCTAATTCCGTTGCTCATGAAAGTGTGTGATTATACTTCACAGAAACTTCGAGGTGTGGATTTTTGAAGAGCGCTCGTGGCTAGCCACAATAAAATGCAAGTCTGCAGCAAAACTTTATGTCAATTTTCCGAACTGTTATTAACCGTAGGATCCAGTGGTAATGACATTCATGGGAAGGGACAAATCAGATCAAAATTCGTCTCAGAAAATCAAGTGATAGCGTAGTAAAGGAGTTTGATTTTCTGGGATGTTATACCTCATTATTGGGAGAAATTTATGTAAATTACAGAATTCCGAGATCCGACTTTGTGTGTGGCACCATAAAAATAACTTCGACAACTAAAATAAAACTGAACACTCGAATTTCTACGAAACTATGGCAGTAAGGAGCGGCTTATATGGCTGTGAAACATATATCATGACATCCAGGGACAAGAGTAGATTCCAGGCTACCGAGATGCGATTCCTGAGATCAGTGATTGGAATAACTACAGGAGATAAAACTTGAAAATGATATTATGAGTAAACTACATTTGGAAAGTTTAAATGACACTGGTAATAAATACGGGAAGAACCGGAAAAGCGACGTACAGCGCATGAGTGAAAGCATACTCCCTAGACAAATGGTGGACTATCAGGAAATAAGCCGTGGAAAAGCAGGAAGAAGATGACAAGAATAAGGTTCAGGAGCCGCAACAGGCCTGGAAGCCCTAATACTTAACGCAGAAGAAGAAGGGTTGAAGTTGATTGGTCCTGCTATGAGGAATCATAATTCTCTCTCTCTCGAGTTTATCCCACAGTTTTGAGATCTGTGTCCACAAAACAAGAGAACGCCTTGACATATCTGGTGGGTTACGGAGAGGTGTAGAACGTCTTTCACAGGTGTTTTTCACCCAGTCTCCCGTCAAATCAGCTGTCATTCATCCTTTTTAATGCACATTTAACGTCTTCAAGGAAAAGTTGTTCTTAGTTTTTTTTTTTTTTTCGTTTGAAGGCAACTTAACGGCCATGAACAGTTATGTATTCCGTGGACTGTAGCTCACAAGCGAACTATGCCGACCGAGCGACCGCCGCTTGTAGGCAGTTTTACCAATCTTTGTGGATAGAGGCTGTCACTTGGTCAGCGCAACGGTTCCCCACGGCCGTTGATCTCGGTTTTCTAGACCGGAACCGCTATTTCCTTGAAATAGCTCCTCAATTATCCTCACGAGGCTGAGTGGACCCGTTCCAGACCACTACTTCTCAGAAAATCTGGTAGCACGGGAATCGAACCTGGGACCTCTGGATCTATAGCAAGGAACTCTGACGGCTAGACCACAGAGGCGGTCAACAGTTATGTACAGTACCATTATTACACGCCATTTAACATGTGTTTCTAATTTTGGCTTCATTTGCACTTTTGGCAGCAGCAGTGTAATAAAACATACGTCAAGACTCCCCGCTGTCTCGTTTGCATTTCGTAGCGTTGTTTATTCCTTAACTGAACAACACATCTCTGCAAGCTTAGCTGCTGGGATCTTCCGACAGATGGATGCCTGAGAGATAGTCCTTCATGACGCAAGCATCTGCTGCAAAAAGCTCGGCCAGATTTTAAAATTTTTCATTACAAGTGATCTTAGCTTTTGTAGTCTTTATTTTATGGCCTGCCGTATGAAACGCATCCCCTCTGCACGCGTCCCTATAGCATCCACGTCGAGGTGTCTTCCTTTCTTTGGCTCTGTGAAGCTCTTGGTGTTTGCCTTTCTTTTATTGCTAGTGGGGTGGGAGTAAGTCCCTTGTACTGCGGCCACTTCTGGCCTATTGTACCAGCCCCAGATGATAGGTGAAAGTGATTGTGGAGCAACTGGTGGAATGAAGATTGGCAGGGGAAACCGAAGTACTCGGAGAAAACCTGCCCCAGCGCCACTTTGTCCATCACAAATCCCACTTGACCGGGCCCGGGATCCAACCCGGGCCGCCGCGGTGGAAAGGCAGCGACTAACCGCTTGAGCTATGGCGCGGCCTCGGTGTTTGACTTACATGAAAATGTGGAAACACGAGCATTCCTTCAATAATGGATCTTTGCGTAACTTATTGGAAATCCACATCCTGCAGCTCTGCTGCCATATATAACGACCTTTAGGTTCAATGACGCATCATATCGGAACCGTTTGGAAAATTTTAGAGTGGCAATTACGTAGGGTATTTTGGGTTTGAAATTTCGCGTAAATGCTAAAACACACCCCAAGTGTAGCATTAAACGCATGCAACATCGTACTGAGACGATAACCAAATGTTCAACAATACCTCCCTTCCCTTCTGTTGACTGTAAGTATTAAGGGGCAAGAAAGAGCATAGGTGTAAAGATGGATGCTTGCCGATCTCTCTTCATTGAATAACTAAACTAATTTCACATAACTGAGCCCTTCTTGATTTCAGAAATTGTAAAATGTGAGGAAAAAGTGCGTTTAAGGATCGAACAAAAGCAATATTTTATGATGTATATATGGCCTACAACCCGCCGCATGCCAATTTTTCAAACAATCTCCTATCCTTACAATATTGCCATGTGTATCAATGACTAAAGACGGGGTTAGGATTGGTAACTGGATAAATTAACAACCTACATATCGTAACTACAATTAATTATTACACTATTGCTGATTTAAGCAATTTGCAATCACTTATTCACATTAATTTTCTCAGTCTATTTTCACTAGTCTTCACTGTCCGTTTCCTGGCAATGGATTTAAACAAAGGAACTGTAAAATACTCACTAAATTACACACTCCAAATATCAATGTACTACAGCACAAGTAACACAACACGCTAAGTTTAATTCTTCTTATGGCCACTCAAGCGAAGTCCATCAATTGCTCACTCCTACAGCTTAAGACTGCCCGCGAACGACTTTTGCTTTCACCCCACAAACTTTCGGCGAAGACCTATAGAAAAGACGTCACGTGCTCTGTATCCACAGTTGTGTGGCTTTACTGCCTACTCGGAAGTGTGTTCAGTGAGCCGTTGCCTAGAATCGGGTTGCATAACCCAGCTGTTCTATTGTTACGTGCGTATAATGCCGGGTGTTCATCGATCCGTTGCCTGGCAATGCGCTGACATATCACAATATTGTACTGAAACACAGCACGAAGCGACTAGGTTAGCAGAATGCATAACGTTAACAATTCTTGCATTAAACTATTATCGATTTTAGGCTTACTTTACTTCACTTCCTAGTAATTCTTACAAAACATTCTTGTGCACTTAATGGCGTTACAAAAGTAGCTAACTGTCATTTAAATCGGGTAAAAATAGCCGTCCGTCCCAATTTATAATATTATTAGGGTTATCAACTTAAGAATAATGAGGTGGAGGAAGCTGGTAAGGGTAAAGTTGTCTCTGTGCTTAACTAATTAAGCACTAGCCATGAAGGCGTATATGGAAGTGGATGTATAGATCCACATTTTCTTGACCTCGGCGCTAGATGGAGGTGAGTAGTCAGCTTCACCCCCCGGCAGGTTTACCGCTCGGGAAAAGAGCCCCGGTACCCATTGGATAGGAGGTCGTGTGAACCCCAGAGCCGGTCTGGACGATACTCAGAAGTGAAAATTATGAGCCCCCGGAACTCGAACTCCGACCTCTCGGGCGACGGCGCTATCCC